TCCTTCCGGGATTGTTGGTAGGTGAAGGAGAGTTAAGGAAATCGAGAATGGAGACTAATTCTAGAAAGGGAGGCAGGGGAAGGGTTCCGAGTTCCGGAGGGAGGCCGAAGGCCCGGTCTGGTCCTAGGAGAAATGCTGGGGGCGGGATCTGGGGTGGGGCCTGTCGGAAAGGGGCTGAAGGCTGGGGGGGTGAGGGGTGAGCTTTGGGAGGGTGCACAGCTGAGAAGGGGGCCAGGTTCTGGGGGTGGCTGAAAGCATGGCCTGGGTCCTGGGAGAGAGGCCAGAGGACGGACCTGGGCTGGGAGTAGGGACAGGTCCTAGACTGTAGGGAGCAGGAGAGCAAAGCCCAGGTTGGGGAGGGGGCGGGGCCTGAGTCGAGAGGAGGAAAGGGGTGGAGCCTAGGCCGTGGAGAAAGGCTGGGCCAAGCCTGAATTCTAGGACCTAGGAGGGGCTCGCGAAGCCCAATCTTGGCGTGGGCTGGGCAGCCGGGCTCCCTCATGGACTGGGACTGCGGGGCCCATGGCGAGGCCTGCGAAGGATATATGTGGAGCAGTTTTGCCGCCAGCTGAGAAGAAGGGATGTACCAAGGGTGCATCATGAGGAACATGCGCACCAGCTGAGGATCCCGTACCTTCCCGGAGTCATCTAACTCCGAGGGGTCAGAGAGAAGCGGGTTGACCCTTGGTCCCGTAGCTGTGGTCCCTCAAGCCTACCTCACAGCCCCACCGGATATCTGGCCCCCCGCCCACCACCTGCTTTCCCAGGACTCTGAAACCAGTAGGCAGGCGAGAGAGAGAAAAGGTAGGGTGGGAGAGGGATAAGGCAGGATCCGAAGAACTGGAGGAGGGGAGCATCTGACCCGGCCCATCGTCCCGAGGGGAACCAGCTGGGGCGGAAGAAGCCTGGGTTCCCCAGGGTCAGGAATCCAGAGGTCATTTCCTGAGTGCTTGGGGGAAGGGGCACCCCTTCACCAGATAAGCTGCCCCCCATCAGCCGGAAACAGCTCCCAGGCCGGAGATAGAGAGTTCCTCCGGATCCTCCGGGGAGACAGATAATGCTCCTCATGGGCCAGAGTCTGGGGATCCCACCCCTCTCCCTTCAAAGCCGGCATACTAGGGAAGGGAAACAATCTTTCTGAAGCGTAGGGATCTCTCTGCCCTGTGACGAAGAGCAGGCTTTCGTTAAAAAGGTTGCAGGATGCAGAACTGGGTGGGTCTAGGCCAGGGGTCTGTCCTGGGAGGCAGGGACCCCGCTTCAGGCTCGGGGCTGGGCTCAGGCTGGGTGTGCCCTCCCGTGCCACTCACCGAAGGCTTCGATGCAGCCGCGGAGCAGCTCCTCCACTGTGCAGCCCTTGTCCAGGTCTAGGGTGCCCGCCATGGCTGCCGGAGCGGGTAGGCTGGACCAAGCTGCACTCCGGAGCCTCCCACGGGGCTCGGACCGGACCCCTGTCCCGGGAGAGGCAGAGAGGGAGTCTGCGGAGGCGCGGCGGGCGGCGGGGGTGGGTTCGAGTCGCCAGGCGGGGCGGGGCGGGGCGGGGCGGGCACGCCCCCTGCTGGGCAGGGGCGGAGTCGTCCCCTGCGGCCACTCCCGGGGTTAAACGGTCTGGCCCGGGGATGGTGCAACCCACCAGTTGGGAAACCGACCGGCCGAGAGGCTTCCGGCTCACCCTCGGATTCACGGGAAGGCCGAGGGGGGCTCCCCGGGGATGGGGACGAGCCAGGACTCCGGGGACTGGTTTGTGCCCCAGCCCGTGGTGGGCCCTCTTCCCCTCGCGTCCTCTCCCCAGAGGCACCTGCAGCACCCCGCGGCTCGGCTCCGCGCCCCTCCCGCTTCCCTCCTGCCACAGCCTCCCTTCCCCCGCAGGGTTATTTTGGGAACCCAGAGCCTGAGGGGACCTCGGAGGAATTTCTCCCTGGGATGGGAGGGAGGGAGGAACCCAGGCGTCCTGCCCGCATCGCCCCCTCCTGGGCTCCCGAGGAGGGGAGGCGGGGCTGTGGCAGCCCCCCAGGGGCCTTCCCCTGGGGAGGCGAGCTGGAGTGGAGAAGAACATTCCTGGGGCGGGGTGGGGGGGGGAGCCCGCGGCGGCCGGGAGGCGTCAGCGGGAAGCCTGAGCCTGGGAACCGCGCGCTCCCAAGCCACCTCCTCAGTGAAGGCCCCAGGGGTCCGGCCTCAGCCCCTTCAGCCGACCGTCTTCCTCCCCAGCCGGAGTTCCTGACCCAGGCCCCCACGCTGCACAGTCGAACTGGGAGCGCACACAGAGGCCGGCCACATTCGAGCACACAGAGAAGGGTGCCCAGAAGGGGGCGCTAGCGCCGTGAGGGGTGGAGAATGCCGGGCTGAATCCACCAGCAACTCCAGTCACTGGCAGGGACACACACCCATTCTATACCCGAGGCCAGGGGCTAATATTGGGGTGTAAGACACCCGCCCCTCCCCCCACACACACACCCGAGCCTCAGCCACTTGCCTCCCATCCTCTGTCTCAGACACACAATGGCACTCACACCCCGCACACACCTGCAGGAAGGAACCCTCTGGCACACATACCCAGCCTTCCAGCCCAGAACGCAAACCCGTTGATGGGGCCAGTTCCCGGACTTGCAGCTCACTCGAGCCAGGCCAGCCTGGAGTTCCGCGGCCACAGAGGCGCTGGATCGCACACGTGTGCACACACACAAGACAGGGCCCCTACACGCATGCACACTCCCACACACGCACACACCCCCATGGGTGCGCACACACGCCCATTCCGCCGCCCCCCCTCCTTCATCCGCAGTCCAGCACAAGCTCTGCGGCCGCAACGCCCTGCCACCCCTCATCCCCGGACGTTGGCAGGGCCTGGCCCCACGAAAGGGTACCCCGCCCCTACACAAACTCCCCCGGGGCTGGAGGGGGGCTCCTCTCCTGAGTTCTCCGGCAGACTTTCCTAGGAGCCACCCATAGCCAACCCCGTCTAGCCCTGCTGCTGCCTCGCTGCGTGACCTTGAGAGTCACTTGGCCTCTCGGAGCCTCAATTTTCTCATCTGTCAAGTGGGGGGGGGCCCGCGGGAGAGAAGGTCCCGCTGAGACGTGGCTGGGAAGAGCCGGATGTGCCGCGGATGCCGCCCCCTCCCGCGGGTTGTCCAGGGCGCTTCAGCTCTCGCCCTCCCACCCCGGACCCGGCCGCAGACTCTGCACCCACCAATCCACCCGCTGCCCCCAGCCGGCCGGCGTCGCCCGGCGGGGAGGGGGAGCCCTAGGGGCCCGGCCCTCTTCTGCCCAGCGCCCCGCCCGCTCTCGCTCACTCACTCTTGGGACCCGCGGCACGGAGCCCGCACCCGGCCGGGCCGGCGCCACCTCGGTGCGCTCCC